GATGGCAGTAAATATTATTACATTCATGAGTGATTTTCAACAATAAAATTAGATTTACTTTTTTTTTTTCACAGAATTCTCGAAAATAATACTTCTTACGCGTAAGTGTTCCTTGTTTCGCGTTTCGCCCATGCATGCTCTGTGTTCCTCCGGTCACATTCCTCTCCAGAGTACCGGTTACTATCCATACCACAGTGCCCAACATCAAGCCCAAGCGACAACTCGCAGCCACCAGATTGCTCTGCAATCGACACCATAACGACGTTGTAACATCACGAAAACCAATCATCATTAACTGCTGTCGTTAAGATTAATTAACTTTAGTTATTTAAACCTGAAATATACTTATTTTTATGATGTGCATATTGCAATTTTAGTACTTACCAACTTAAATGAGTTCGTGTTGTTTTGCATAGGAAGAACGACAAATAACATTACTATCTCTTGGGATGTGACTCCATATGGTCTGGTAGAAGTTCACAGGAGAAGTGTCTACCAGACTAGCTGGCGTCACAAGCCAGAAGATAGTACTTCTCATGCTTAATGGTGTGAGAATCAGTGAGCTCACAAGAATAACTATCGTACGAAGTTACTGACCATCTGTTGTCACTATCTTAGCTATAAAGCGTCTTAGGATCACACGATCGATTCTTGACACGGTCTACTTCACCAGTAATTCTGTTACAATGGATAAAGACATTTATTTAGGCACCACAACATGAAGACACACGGGGCAATGTAACTTCAAGCACTCTTATCCTTGTTATTATATGAGTGATGGTCATCACTAGGTGCCGACCGCTTTATCCTCGGACAAGCAGCCCTTATTGCTCATTCGATTTGAAGCAGGGGAGCGCCAGGCCCAGTCTAAATGCAGTGACGAAGAGAATTTATCCATCCTTTCCGTTAATGAAGTCCCACGCATCCAACCCCGTCGGATGTACCTCGTTCGAACACACATGTTAATAAAATTTTCGCGTCCTGTCAGTCGGTTGTTCGGTAGGGTAAATTGCTGCCGGTCCTAGCCAGTCTGTATATTTTGGCCACACAGTAAATTTCCATGGAAAGGTATATATAAGACTGGTTTGAATTTCCACCTGAAGACTTCATAAGCGAAAGAAGCTGCATCTTATACAAACCAGCAGAAATACAGCCAGTAAGCTCAGTCGCCTGCTTCAGCTGCATTCCTGCATGGCTTACTTTCCAACCTCGAAGATTTTTTTTTATTATTATTAATCAGCAATCAGAATTTCATTCTATAAGCTAATGGTCTGTTTGGTTCGGTGTCTTGATGAGGAGTCGTCCAGCGACGGATCCTCGGTACCTTACATCAGGTCAATTGGCCAGTTTCTTTTTAGTCGTCTGTTGACTTCTCTCGCCCGTAGCGCCATTATGAGTGGATTTGTATGTGTTTCGATTTTGGTGTGGTGTCTGGTGCTTTTTCGTTTGATGACATCTTGAACAGTTGATATTCCGAGATCGGTGTGGAGTGTGGCATTGGAGACGTACCATGGTGCATTTGCTATCATTCTCAAGATCTTGGACTGGCTTCTTTGGATTATTGTTATATTTGATTTGCTGGAGCATCCCCATAGCTCCAGGCCATACGTCCAAATAGGTATAATAATGGTCTTGTAAATCAGAATTTTGTTAGCTATTGATAGTTTTGATTTTTTGCCTATTAGCCAATTTAGTTTTTTGACGGTTAAGTCAACTTGTTGACGCTTCTTGGTTATGTGTTGCTTCCACGTAAGTTTGTTGTCCATTGTCATTCCGAGATATTTCACTTCTGTTTTTCGTGGTATTTGCTGATTGTTGATGTATACATCAGGAGTTAGACCTTTTTGTAGGGTGAAGGTTATGTAACAGGATTTATTTCCATTTATTCTGATGCGCCACTTCTCGAACCAATTTTGTAGTGCACTGAGGTGATGCTGGAGGTTTAATGCTGCTCTTTCTGGGTCTTCGTTGGTTGTCAAAATGGCTATATCATCTGCAAATGTTCCAGTAGATGTGTCTGGGGAAGTGGGTAGGTCAGATGTGAATAGAGTGTAAAGCATTGGGCCAAGGACGCTTCCCTGTGGTACACCTGCTTTTATTGGTTGTGGTTCAGACTTTTCATTACCCACTTTTATGTGAAACTGACGGTCCCTTAGGTAAGATTTGAAGAGGTTGAAGTACTTTGGTGGGAGAGTTTGTTTGACCTTGAATAGTAGGCCACTGTGCCACACCCGATCGAAAGCCTGGCTGACGTCTAGGAACACTGCTGTGCAATATTGTCTCGCTTCGTATGCTTTGTTTATGATGTTTGTTAAACGGTGAATCTGTTGCACAGTAGAGTGTCCCTGTCGGAATCCAAATTGGTGGTGCGGAATCCATTCGTCTGGTCTTAAGTCTTTGTTTATTCTTCTTAGTAGAAGTTTTTCGAAAACTTTGGACAATACTGATATAAGACTGATTGGGCGATATGAAGTAACCACTGTTGGGTCCTTTCCTGGTTTAGCTATTGGTATTACTTGTGAGATTTTAATTTGCTTGGGCCAGTAGGACATTCTTATTATGCCATTAAAGATGTAAGTTAATAGAACAATGCCTTTTTTAGGAAGTTCCCTCATCATTTTAGGTGTTATTTGGTCTGGTCCGGGTGCTTTTTTTAGACCCATGGATTTTATCACCTCCTTAATTTCGTTCGGGGTGGCATTCGCTATAGTTTGTTGCGATGTTGTAGGTGATGTTAAGTTTTGCTCTATAGTTTGGTCTTGTTCTTCGTTATGCGGGGTGAATATACGAGCAAAGTGTTGTGCAAAGAGTTCCGATTTTTCCTGGTTACTTCTTGCCCATGGTCTTTCATTTAGTGTTGCGTCTCGTATTGGCGGCGAGGGTTCTATTGGTTTTCTTGTGTTTCTAATGGGCTTCCATATTGAGTAGTCGTATCTATTAAGGTTATGGATATAATCTGCAAAGGATGCTTCTCTCATTTCCTTCAATTTAGCTTTTAGTTTGTTGGTTAGCTGGTTATATATGGTTTTATCTCTTGGGTTGTGGGTTCGTTGCCAAATCGCTCTTGCCTTTCTTTTTTTGTTCAGGAGTTGCTTGATTTCTAAAGGAATGTTGTAGGTGCATTTCTGTGGATTCAGCAGTGGGGTAGATTGGATAGCGGATTGTTGCATGACTTTGACCTCGAAGATGGAGGCGATTTTTTCCTCCCAAACGCGCTGGGTCCTCTCCGAACTACATGATATTAAATCCAGAAAGTCATATTCTTCATATCCTGAGGACCTCAAATCTGCTACATTTGCGTTCACTTCACTCTGAAGTATCTAAAGAGAACAGCACCTCTCACAAAGATGGCAAAAACTGTGTATACATTCTGAACGCAAAACTAGCAGCCAGGAAAAATACTGTACTCCTCATACTTTCTGGCTAATGTGCGCTCTTAATGTCAGGGCATGCCTTCATTGAATAAGATATGTCATAACCTTTGCTGCACCCATGGTTTCCGGTCTAGAAACCGAGATTAACCGCCGTGGGGATCCGTTGCACTGACCACACGACACCCTCTATCGGTTAAAGTTGGCACTAGCTTCGCCGAAAAGCGGCGGTCGCTCAGTCGGTATAGTTCGCTTACGGACTACAGGCCACGGAGTTTGTACCCATGGTTTGAGAACCGAAGGTCCATACTTACGATTAATAAATATTGCTTCATTATATTATAAGCAGGATGAATAAACATGTCTGGCTATGTCACAGATTATTATTTAACGACTCTTTGCTAACTACACTTGTTACGTTCTGTTGAACGAAATCTCATGAATTCTAACTTCTGGTGTATAATGTCGCGCAATCCGTTGATAATCAACAGATATTTCGGAGAAACATTCCACCTCCCTTTTTAAGGTCGAATAATAATGCTAGCAAGAAACCGGCATTAAATAGGCTCAGGTGATATTTTAGTCCAAAATGTCGGTTGATTTTCAATGGATGTCCACGGTTAACTAATTTTAAAAGACGGGTAGGGAGAGCAGCTTTTTCAAGATTGGTAATATTGTGACATGACGCTTGAAAGCCGGAAGAGCCAAAGTAGACATTCATTGTTAGGCAACGACCCGAAAAACAACTTCCTGCGGAAATGAACACGCGAAACAGCAGAAGAGCAGTGTTTTCTATATTGTCCGTACCACAGCAACAGAGAGGCCGTGTTTTCTTAGTGGCCCGTACCGAGAGGTTATAAAAAGGTCAGAGAAGATGGTTTATATTATTTGAGTTTCGAGACACCAGCCTGCCAGGATATGAGGATGGGAACGGAGAAGTTCAATTGAGGACAATAGTGTTAGTAGCAGTGAGCTGTTCCAGGATTAGCGGCAGCTCTGTATTACTTGTAATTAAGAGTTGAGTGTATAAGCACAATAAAACCAATATCCAATTCATACACCCTCTAATAGTCACACCCTCAAACACGTGACAATATTAAAAGGTCTGACTTCAGCCACTGAGAAACAGACTGAAGTTCTACCAAGGGCATAAGCTATCCTGCTTAATATTCAAGCAGTGTGTATTCTGAATTGTGAACATGCTCGGCAACTGTAACTCATCAACCCCCGGTGAATATGCACGGTGAGCTCTAAGTTTATTTAGAAATAAGCGGAGTAGTCTATATTAAGGAACTGTTTTAGCATTTCGCTCAAGGACTGAAACGTTTTGTTATTTGACAAGCTTATCAAATGCAAAAAACAGGTAGGAATAGGGGTGATAACACAACATAACGTGAAGCAGCCTGGTTCAATGCACAGCTCTAAGGGATTATACATTTTCAAAAAGTATTTGTTCCAGCAGGAACATGTGATTATACTAATAACTTCACTTCTACATGTGCTGTTACTGACAGCCATTAACAGTTTTGTGCACTGTATTTAATAGCAGAGTCACGCATAACAATTTCAGCGTGCGAAACAAACAGTAGGACGTAATCTCACTATATCAATAGCAGTATATATATGTGTGTGTGTGTCATTCTTGTAGCGACGTTTCTGAGTGTTCTGACAGACTCGAAGGGGAATTACACAAATTTTTCTGGACAAGAACTATGAAGGAGTTAGTTCTATTGGTAGTATTGCTCCTGGTATCAGTAGGAACAACTCTGGAGAAAGAATTTAATGACAGATATCATGAAGATCAACAGATTGAAACCGAAGAATATGACTTCTACAATTTCACGCTACCAAGTGACTTTCATCTCGGTGTATCGTCGGCTGCCTATCAGTATGAAGGGGCTTGGGATGAAGGAGGTAAGAAGTATTGTTTTGAAATTTGTTGGCTAAAGTCCAAAATATGAAACTGCATTTTCATTTCATGCATCCTGTTGTGTTGTATCGGTCAATAAAGAGGTTATATGAAACTGCATATTCAGAACCAGTACGTTAAGTAAGTAAGCAACGAGTCTTTATTGAAGTTTTTTTCAGTCATATGGTTGATAAAGGAAGCCTCAACTTTTATGTAACAAGGAGATTCTTTACTTCGTTCATGAAAGCTTTGCCTTTGGAACCTGTTATGAATAACTTTAATGAAGTTCACACCCCCAAGCCCTATCTGCCAATATTCACTAGGTCTATGCATTTAGAGGTTCTATATCTTACACTCCACTAGGTAACTTTGAAAAGTTTCCTGTTAGCTTACCTCTAATGACATGACGTTTTATCAACGATCATACAAGTTCATCTACTCACCCTATTGCCACTAAAGGAAGACATTAGGTCTCTGTTAGGATAATGTCATAGAATTGCATTGTAGCGTGTATAGCCGATACTATGCAGCGACCGCGATATATAGCAGCATATATAAAAGACAGACCCGTCCTCTCGTCAGAGAGGGCGCCTCACAAAAACAAGACCGTAACTGTCAAATAGTAATAAATATCTGGTGCCAAGACTTACTGACTGACAGTCAGTCGCAATGTGACTTTGACTTTGACTCTGAGATTAGTTCAGCTTGAAGGGAGCCCCGATTCAGAGAGAACTTGAGCCAGGGAGCAGAGGAATAGGCACTGTTAAAAGCCATTACCAGGAAAAGTCTAGTCACGATATTGCAGGCTGCGAAAGACTTAGAGTGATTTGTAAGCTGTGGAAATTATCAATGGCGCTTTAATTAAGTGTAATTACGAGTTGTGTATTAAAGTGGTCAATAAGTCTAAAATCCAATCCAACCCCCGTCTATAGTCACTCATACACGTGTCAGTATTATGGAGGTACTCGGTCTGAATTTCGGCTGGAGCTTAGATTATCCTGACAGGCTTCTTGTTTTCCTCAGTCTCTCTAGACAAATGACGGGACAGTACCTCAGATGACTGATTTCTTCCAAATCCTTTTCACGTAAATAAGCGGCTTGCCACTTGAGGCTCTGTAGTCTAGACTCTGAGGACATATAAAAGCAGAGCACATGGCATATGTCTTGCACACACATATACATCTACATAGACAAATAGAATCGTCATAATTACACTCAAGAGTTGAACAAACCAACAATTGTTAAAAATCCGTGAACATGTATCAGAGTTCGATAGTATCTTTGTGGGAAACTTTTCCAAAAACAAAAACATATATATTTTGTTTCAGGTAAAGGTGAAAGCATATGGGACAGATACATCCATACTTACCCTGAAGCCATTGCTGATGGTACAAATGGAGACGTAGCAGCAGATTTTTACCATAAATACAAGGAAGATATTAAAAGGGTCAAGGATTTAGGGGTAAGACATCAAGTAGCCTGGGTAAGACAAGGTATAGTAGAGGCTAGAAATAATAAACTAAACTCCGTGGTCTGTAGTGCGCAAGCGAACTATACCGACCGACCGCCGCTTGTCGGCGAAGTTAGTGCCAACTTTTACCGATAGAGGGTGTCGCGTGGTCAGCGCAACGAATCCCTACGGCCGTTAATTTCGGGTTTCTAGACCGTAGCCGCTATTTCCTTCAAATAGGTCCTCAATTATCCTCACGAGGCTGAGTGTAACCCGTTTTATACCCACTTCTTCTAAGGATTCCATTGGAAAGTTTACAATGCAAAATTCTGCGCCGTCTCGGATGTTAGCATTTTTCAAAATTCAAAGTAGTTTTCTGGCTCGTGCCCAAAATCAGCCTCTATTTCCGAGTCCTATCACCAACCTAAAGCTCTCCTTTCATGTAAATGAGATGTTAATCTAACGCCCACTCCTCAAACAGGAGGATAACTTTCCAGACGACCGGGTTCGTATCCCGGAAGCATATATTATTTTTTCGCCACCTTATTCAGCCGGATTTTGTATATATAAAATTTACCGAGGGGAAATTTCCCCTCGGGACGCTCGTTACTCCCCTGCAACTCATGCTAAAGTTAACAATGCGTGTTGCTTAATTAGAGGAACTGTTAAGAGACTGCGCTGGTTACAAGCTTTGGTGGTATAAAGCAACACAGATCTAAGAGAAAAACGATATTGTTGTAAGCTGTAACTTTTATATTAAAAAATTGAAATATTAAAATGATATACTCCTAGCCATTATTGAATTTTTAGAAGAGATATTTTAACCGATATTATCCTCTAAATCTAGATACCGTATTTACGCATGTATAGGCCGCACATTTTTTTGCCAAAAATTCAAGAGGAAAACTGGGGTGCGGCTTATATTCGAAATATTCGAAATCACACTTCATTTAAAAAAAATTATATTCATAATTAGTAATAATGGTAATACTCCTAAATAATATTCCAAGAAAATTATTTTTTCTATAATTTGTCTGAAAATTGTGCTGCGGCCTATACATGCGTAAATACGGTATATATACGTATAAGACATGAGGTTCTCACAGCAGTGGTTATGAAGAATTCTGTGTTCTTGGAAGTAACACTGTGTAGTCTGTTTCGGAGGAACTTCAGGGCTGAAGAGTAAGTCAAGCATGAAAGGCCCTACTTGCTGCCTACTTCATGCTGGCTTCTTGTTTCGCCCATTCCTCAATCTGCAGATGGAAGCCGCAAACCGCTCGGAAACGTCAGTTGACTTTAAGCGGACTACACGTTGTTATTTCCCAAAGGAGAGAAATCTTAAAGATTTTTATGTTTCTGTTCCAGCTGGATACCTTCCGCTTTTCGATTGCATGGCCTCGAATTATGCCAACTGGCCTAATCGACAGTGTAAATCAGGAGGGGATCGACTTTTATGATGATGTCATCAACGAAGTCATTAAGAATGGCATATCTCCCATGGTGCGGTCATTAGGAAATAAAGCGAAACGTTACACTTATTTAGATATATGTAGAAATTCAAAAATAGGAACCTGATAACTATATAGGGTCTATGGCTCTACAATCCTTTGTTTGGACCTTGGTCGCCTTTTCCGTTTCTTGATCCTACATACAGTCGGTAGGAGTCCTTGGACGGGGTATCAGCCCGTCGCAAAGTCGCTACCTACGCACAGAACAGCACAAACAGAATAAACACACAGACTTTGATGCGTTCAGTGCGATTCGAACCCATGATCCCAGAGTTCGAGAGAGCGAAAACAGTTCATGCCTTAGGCCGGGTACACACTAGCGAGCTGTTGCATGTAACGTAACGGTTACTGTAACCACATTCTGTTAGTGTGGACGCCTTCCGAACCACGCTCGCGAACGTACTTCGAGCGCGTTCTGTAACACGAACGGCGAGCCTCTGCCTTGTCGGCTTTTGCTGCGAACACAAAGGGACTCGCAGTAGGCTCGTGGACGCCACAATCGCTTGCTCGTAAATGTGTACGTTTCCTCCGGGCCAGGAGTAGCGTTGCGAATCGCTATGTCTTCATGGCGAGCTCACCACGAGCACTATGGATCGGGTCGCTCGAAGCTGGTTACATGACGACTGTGGTCGTGTCGTCCATATGAAGACGTGGTTACAGTAACCGTTACGTTACATGCAACAGCTCGCTAGTCTGTACCCGGCCTTAGATCGTGCGGCCACTGTGATCGGCTGGAACCTGATATAGACGTTTAAAATATTCTGACTATTGTAGTTAATATAGGCGATTTAGTTATGAAAGAAGCTAATAAAAACAGAAATGAAACTATCAGTATTTCATTCAGTTTTCAAGGCATTTCTTCCTTTTAAAAAACACATTTTAGAGGGAAACAAATGAATATAAAAATTTTAAAAATTCATGATCCAAAATAGACAGAGTGCCCCTTAAATATGTGCCGTATATTGGCAGGGAAACTTCTGGATATGGAATCAACTCTATGTTCTGAAGGTATATTCGGAAACGCTCCTGTAAGATGTCAAATGGGACGAAATGTTCTTCCGTTTATTTACATTGCCTTGAGGAGACTCCATGAATTTTACATTACTCAGTATTCGTGATATACACAAAACTTTCTTGGACGTATTTAATTTTTGATCTTACTGATCAAAAACAACCCATAATTTATATTTATCTCAAATTTAAGTATATAATTTTTAACGAGCCGGTCACGGTAGCCGAGCGGTCTAAGGCATGTACTATCTTCGCTCGCTTGGAAACCGGGATCGTGGGTTCGAATCCCACTCAGGGCATGGATGTTTATTTTGTGTGTGTTCGTTTTTCTGTGTTTGTTTACAGGTAGAGGCCATGCGACGAGCTGATCACCCGCCCAAGGAGTCCTACCGAACGTGTAAGATCTAGAAAAACCGAAGTGAACGGAGAAGTTCATGGAGGTAGGCCTAGGTCCACTGGGGCTGTAGTGCCAAGGGGAAAAAAAAATTTAACGAACGACTCTGGTCTTACAATTTTAACGGGTTGTAGGATACAGACTCAATCAGATCTATTCCTTTCATTCGAAATATCTCCCTTTGAAATCGTACAAGTTTAACGAAATACAGGAACAAATTTCAAGCCTCTCTATAGATGTCATTGACCGAGCTAATTAACAATTGAGATACAGCAGTGAACAAGAGTAATAAATTATATCACTGACAGAGATGATCACTAACAGATATTACCTCACACAGAATTTAAATGAACCTATGATATAAACCAATATACGTAGTAAAACAATTTACTTTTTTTTCCTTGGCACTACAGCCCCAGTGGACCTAGGCCTACCTCCATGAACTCCGTTCACTTCGGTTTTCCTAGATCTTACACATATGGTAGGACTCCTTGGGCGGGTGATCAGCTAGTCGCAAGGCCTCTACCTGTACACAAACACAGAAAAACGCATACAAACATACATGCCCTGAGTGGGACTCGAAACAACGATCCCGGTTTCCGAGCGAGCGAAGACAGTACATGCCTTAGACCGCTCGGCTACTGTGACCGGCAGTGTATAAGAATAATATATAAGAATTCAGTTCGTACCTCACAGGAAACAGATCCGAACCCACGATCCCAGCTTCCGAGAGAGGGAAGACAGTACATGCCTTAGACCGCTCGGCTACCGTGACCGGCAAACAATTTACTTGCCGGCCCCATAAAAAATTGTGTGAGCTCTAATGTACCGGAATATATTATCAATGAACAAAGTATTGAATATTATGTTTAGGGTAAATGTGTAAAGGTAAAAGGTAAGGCATGGTAAAGTTGTCCCTGTCCTTAACTAATTAAGTACTACGCCATGATGGTGTATGCGCGAATGAACGTTAGATCCGCATTAGGTTAAATGAGCGCATACATAAAAGTACCGGTCATTAGTCTCATTATAGGAACAACTAAAATAAAAATATCATAAACTCGATATGATATTACATAAATGTAAAGCTCCCCTTTTATCAGGGCGTTAAGGCCCATAGGGTTGTGAGACGTCGAGGTTCCCACATTTTCTTTAGAAAATCGGCTCACAGGTGGCGGTAAGTTTCTCAGTCTTACGCGTCGACCGTCCTTTAGCGCCAGGAATATTCCTGATACTCATTTCTGTTAGATACTAAGTTGATCCCAGGGACATAGTGCGGCTTGAAGGATTAGGCCAATTGAAAAATCCATCGACCTCATCGGGCATCGAACTCGCATCGGTTTGTAGTACAGTGCCTCAACAAACTACACTAGCGTGTGGCCCTGATATAACAGTCTTCATGCAAATAACAGGCTTATACACATAGCATTTAATTTCATATTTCAAATATTTGTTTTTGTTACGTATTTGAAGTTCATATATAAACGAAACTATGATTAATGATAGTGCAGGAACAAGAAACAAACAGGGTGTGATCCATTTCAAAGCAGCATTGCATTACTGGAACCCAAAACTATAGCAGAACTGATTCAAGTAGGAATTGTACCAATCATAACTATAGTATGAAAACCAGGAACTCATTTCACTATATAAACACTTCTGATTTGGTTGCTACAGGTGACCATGTACCACTGGGACTTGCCGCAGTATTTACAGGACCTGGGAGGCTGGACCAATGAAATCATCGTCGATTATTTTGAAGACTACGCTGATGTTCTCTATTCATATTATGGAGACCGAGTAAGTTGTCAGCTTATCATAAATAGTTACATTACACTACGTTTAGTTCAACATTAGCGATAACAATTTCTGTCGACAATAAATTTAAAGCTGTGGTAGATTACTATTGAGTAATCTATAATTACATTTTAAGGTGAAAAGAATAAGTCAAGTAAAATACCAGCAGCTCGTCTACTTCTACTGGTTTCTAGCTTGGCTTCGTTTATTACCCAGGGTGTCGGAGAAGCCGTCCTCCGAAACGTTGCGTTTTCTCCGAATTACAAGGCACTACAAACCAGACGATTGTGCTCTCTACCGTCACAGCCGTGAGGACCTCAAATCTAGCGGACTTATAAGGGGTTTTCAGCGTAATTCTTAGTCCCTCGAGGAGAATGCCAGTATGGTGATTCAAATTATGTCACGAGAGTTCCCTTTCATAACGTGCTTGACGCAACCCTCCACATCTTACAGCGTACATAACCTAAACAGTTTATATACAAACAAAAAATAAACTCCGTGGTTTTAGTCCGCAAGCGAACTATACCGAGCAAGCGACCGCCCTTGTCGGCGAAGTTAGTTAGGATAGAGAGTGTCGCGTGGTCAGTGCAACGAAACCCCACGGTCGTTAATTTCGGTTTTCTAGAGCCACTATTTCCTTGAAACAGCTCCTCAATTATCCTCACGAGGCTGAGTGGACCCCGTTCCAGACCCACTACTTCTCCGAAAATCTGGTAGCGCCGGGAACCGAAACCGGACCTCTGGATCTGTAGCCAGGAACTCTGACCACTAGACCACAGAGGCGGTCTACATAGCGTCGTGAAACAGCAGAATAAACATGTGTTTGTTCGCCTTTCCATATTAATGTATTAGCCTTTCTGAGTTGCCCTTTCTTTAGTTCGAATAATAGCTAAGAAAAACTCTTTCAGAATGGACTCTCTATATTTGTTTCGTGAGTAATTACGGCAAACTTCCCTGTGAAAAACGGACATGGAGGTGTAAATCACAAGCCAGCAAGGAACTACTATTACCAGGATCAGCTAGGAAAAGGAAGAGGAAAAAATTCGTGATAAACTCCTTCTAGAGATACTGTCAAAACAGTTATCATTACGTACAATTAAGTATTACTGGGTCGATTTGGGAGTCACAGGCTTCATGGACCTGAGCGTGCTCACTATGCCTTTTGGTAAACATAGGCAGAAGGAGCAGTCCACAGTGCCCGAGAGTCAGGAGACGTCATGTATCAATTTGTGATAAGAGTATACTAGATCTAAGATTGTATTTAACAGACACATAAGCAGCCGATGGAATTCAACCAGTGGAACAGGTCTGCTGAACTTTAACGGATAAACATATCGTGTATCTCTATCCCTTAACCTCTCGTACCTTTATGTCCTGCCTTCCTTTCTCCATATTTATTTCCCATTCCTTCGACACGTCAGTCCTTTCACTTTCTTCTTTCTAAATGTAACTTGTCCTCTGTTACAGCACTCAATTAAGCATCCCTCTTATGCTTCAGGTCGTGCCGTTTCGAACATAGATCTGTCATCTTTGTATGTACAAGAGAATTATGTACATATTTTTAATAGCATACCACACAAACCTAGTCTATCATGTAGAGTGTCCTCTGGTATGTATTGCCACGTTTCTGAGTGACAATAGACGAGGTAGGGAAGTTGATTGAGGCACTATGATACAAGTTGGAAAGTCGTTGGTTCGAGTCCCGGTGAGGTCACTGGGTTTTTCAATCCTTCTAGCAGCATTATGACCATGGGTTCGACTCAGCCTCTAACAGAAATGAATACCAGGAATATTCAGGGGGGTAAAGAGCGGCCGGCGCGTAAGCCTGACAACCTCACCGCTATCTGTGAGCCGACTGTGTAGAAAACGTAGGACCCTCGACCTCTCGCGACCTTATGGACCCACACGGCCGGCTACAGGGATAGCTTTGCTTATAGACGGAGTTTGGATTGTTAATTGTATTTACTGAACACTTACAGATCGTAACTATGCGTGATTATAGCCCTATCGCCATTTCACACACACTCTGAAGTTCACTACAGTATGTACTAGCCTTCTCATTCTGTTCTCACCAGTCGTTACCTTGTGACGGACCATCTGCTTCCGTGCTCACATTCTTACTGGCTGGCAACCGTCCGATAACTACGTCCTACTCTTCTAATTGCCATCTCAAGACTCTCTCTAACGGCCGCTGGCCCTCGTTATATAACCTCGGAACTGACCTCACAGAGAACATAGCTTCCAACAGTTCTTCTATTGTTGCATAACATAGCTATAGAGCAAGGACTGCGTAGCGAACACCGCTTCCAAGTTAATCCACTATTGTTTGTTACAAATATGTTGCCTAAAAATTGGCGTTCGGAAAGCCTTTTCCTAGCAGCGGCTGTCTCTTATGGTTTCACAGTTCTTACCTTAAGCAAATATGCCACTGTATATATATATTATGTGTGTGTGTGCCCTTCCAATTTGGAATTTCGGTACATAATTATTCTCTATTCACGCTTTTGTATTCGTTGTGCGGAACCAATTTCGCGAAGCCATATTTAGGGAAAATCACTTATTCACAGCACTAATATTTGTTACTTTCATTCTTTGCTGACACTCACTGTGCTCTCAGAAAATATAAATTAATATCATTATATCAAACGCTTCGCAGGTGAAACTGTGGCTGACATTAAACGAACCAACTAAAGGTGTGGATGGGTATGGCGGTAACGTTACTGGTTTAGGATACGCACCGAATGTTTCTGCTGCCGGCATAGGGACCTACCTGGCAGGACACACGATGTTAAAGGCACACGCGAGGGCATATCACCTGTACAATAATAAATATCGGGAATTTCAGAAAGGCAAGTATCAGACACTACCATATCGACAAGACAAGAGGTAAAACGTCCCGGGGTAGAGGTAAGTGTCCATTATTTCTTAGCCAGGAAGTCCTGACTTCACGCAGCTTAGTCCTTCTTGAGAAGCCAGCATAATTTCTGCTCGATTTGTCCAAAACATCCCTAAAGTTTGAGAGATCAGATTTTAAGAACATCAGAGTTATGGACAAACTTTTCGTTGTAGGCCGCATTTCTCTCGCACTGGAGACTTTCTGGTATGAACCTCAAGACAGCAATTCCGAAAGTGATCATGAGGCAGCACTTCAAGCGATAGAGTTCAATGTAAGTATAATTCTATAACCTATCAAATGATGGAGACACTTGTCACTCTCCTTTTAGTCAAAACATTTTTCATACACAGTAACAGATGCAGTTACTTATTTATATAATTTCATCTTAAGCAGTTTANCACGGTCTCTTCGCTTGCGGGTTTCCTTATATTTTTCCTTCTACCCTGAAGATGGAGGCAATACGTTCCTCCGAAACGTCGGTTACACCACATATACACGGTGCCAAATCCCAGAAGACTGCTTTCTTCAGTTTAGAAAGAAGTTCATTTTAATAGTAAAAGGCATTTCCTGAAATTATTTTTCTATTAATTTCACCACGGGCTCTTATTCCTTTTATAACTGTTGTTTGAAATCAACCAATCGATTAGTTGGTGAAATGTGACGCGAAAATTGCCCTTAAATCGATTCATATTTTTCGCGGAAAAAAGTATTAAATCTGACTGCAATGTGAGAACATGGAATATATATTCGAGAATACCAGCTTCATTTCCTTCTCTTTGACTAAGACTGAGCTGAGAAGCCCTTCAATAAAAAAATTTGCCAGGCCCAATTTTTCACATACAAAAAAAGCGACTGAAATTTAACGTGATGTGGAAACGCTGTGTTTCCAATATTTGCATTTTCCAAGAAAGTTTTACGCTTATCGAAAATTTTTCAACGATTTTTTTTGTGGATATTTTTGTCTTGCGTCTCTTCAAGGAATCACGTGTTTGTAGCCGTTGGCACGAATTTCCTGGCACATACATGTGCATACATTTAACAGGGTATACAATGAATATATACAAGTAAACACGTACACGGAGAGGCACTATGCTACAAGCCGGAAGGTCGCGGTTTCAAATACCGATGAGGTCATTAGATTTTTTCAATTGACCTAATCCTTCTAGCCGCACTATAGCCCTGGGGTCGACTCAGCCTCTAACAGAAATGAGTACTAGGAATTAATTAAATAATTTTCCTGTGGAGTAAAGCGGGCCCGGCACGTAAGGCTGACTACATTACCGCCATCTTTGAGCCGATTGTCTATATAATGTGGGACCCTCAACGTCTCACAACCCTCTCGGCCTCTTACAGGGATGAAAAAAAAAGTACACACACACACGCGTATAAACGAATTCCTTTGTGTTTTCCAGTCTTGCCCATCTTAACAGTTCATGTAGCATTAAATTGTAATCCAAGATTAAAATAATTAACGTCAGGCTCTTCTTCACCATTTACACCCAAGTTAACGGAAAACCTACCAAGACAACAAATTTACACTTTGCGCATATGGAGCAAGTCCATTTGGTATTTGTATTTAATTTTCTAATGTCATTTCACGTCAGCTTGGTTGGTTCGCAAACCCAATCTTCAGTAAGGAGGGTGACTATCCGACGGTCATGAAGAAAAGAATCGCTGAAAACAGCTACCAAGAAGGCTACCTAAAATCGCGATTACCACAATTTTCCACGGAGGAGGTTAAGTATATTAGAGGTATGTGAGCAATACTGATATTCAGTAACAACTAAGGTTAAAATGTGAGAATAGTTAACCGAAAGATCTACGGGTTAATTAGCATCATCACTAGCAAAGCCGCTGTTCAAATTCGGTGGGAAATAAGTTTCTTTTTTTTTTGACTTCCCCATATATATATATATATATATATTTATTTATTTTTTGGTAATGTCACGTGAAAGCATACATAATATAAAGAGCCAGCATCTTCCTTATTTTTATGGACAAGGAGGTAAAGAATAAATAAGAATAATAAAAATAATTCATTTTGTATTCAGTGGAACCTTGCAGTTCAGATTTTCTTTTATTGCTAATGGGGTTGGACTAAGTCCCTTGTACAGGTCCTCAGATGATAGGTGAGGGTGATTGTGGAGCAAATGGTGGAATGAAGATTGGCAGGGGAACCGAAGTACTCGGAGAAAACCCGCCCCAGCGCCACTTTGTCCACCACAAATCCTACTTGACCAGACCCGGGATCGAACCCTGGCCACCGCAGTGGGAAGCCAGCGACTAACCGCTTGAGCTACAGCGCGGCCTAGTTAAGATGGTAAAACTGTTGTGAATATATTTTATTAATTCTCTTTCTACTATTATCAGCTTACCAATTCCGCTACTTTTTGAAACACGAGTAATAGCCATTTTTAATGCTCACCTTTTCTGGAATGAATGATTTACATCAGAGAAGCACTTTGTTTATAGGAACTGCAGATTTTTTCGGTCTCAATCAATACACAACAAATAGGGCAACGTTCGGAGAAAATGGTCCGAGTCCCTCATACACAAGGGACACAGGAGTGACTCTCGTGGCACCATCCGATTGGCCAGCATCTGAAACTTCGGAATGGGAAAAGGTAAGAGTTGTTGGGGTTATTTCAGCGGCGAGCATTAAGTTTACCTCATTTCGAATGTGACGCAGTGAAATCTGGTAAATGAAGAATGCCCTTTTCTTGGATGTGGCGCGGTGTATGTATTTTAAGCGACGTTTCGGAGTAACATGCCGCCTCCATCTTCAGGGTATAAGAAATCTCTGAGCGATGAACAAACGTGAGCAGGTGTTTGTAGACCGAGGGCCAATCTTACAAACCTGGTAAATAGCTACTAACGTTTCAGAGGGATGTATTTTCTCCATTTCCAAATCAGTGGAGGGCAAAAGTAGCAATTTCCCCCCAACCAAAAAAAAGAAAATATGACTATATGGCCGTGCCATAGCTTAGGCGGTTCATCCACCGCGGGGGGTTCGGTTCGATCCAAGGTCAGGTCATTTAGGATTTGTGGTGGACAAAGTGTTACCTTACCTACTATCCTTCCGTCAACTTCTCCATATTCACTGATCACCCTATTATCGACGCTATAGTCTCAATACCGAATGCGTCGTTATACCAGACTTAAACAAGAAGTTCTGGGAAGAGCAAATCGCCTACTTTCCTTAGATACAACACGGACCGCATAGAAAATTATGTGGCCAACATTTCTATTGTTGAGTTTCTATACGCTGCGACGGGTAACGTTTATTTCCGTACTATTATCTAGGCAACGACAGGGGGACACACAGACACACAGATTGATGGGAGGCATTTAAGAAATACATCCTTGAGATGGATGTGGATGTCATGACGTACACACCAAATTTCGTAAAGATTGGTTCAGGTATTCAAAAGTTCATAAGGAGGGTACACAGACACAGAGACAGCATGGTGATTTTATAAGCCTACTTTGATTTTCTCAAAATTAGTAGACCAAGAAAAGAAACTTAACTTGTATGGTTACGTGTCGCCACGGTCCAGAAGACAGTAATAGTCAGGATTAAATAAGCTCCTTCCTGATGCTGCTTATCAGGGGAACCGAGGAACTAACTTTCAACGAAGAACTCATCTTGTCAAAATATATTTATATCCTTCAGCAGACATAATTACATAATTACCCTGTTCACTGTAACTCACCGAGTTTAACCACTACAGAAGATAAAGGCATACCACTGTGAGCACAGTGTGCCACACATCCGTGGTGAGGCCCTGGCCTCTCCTTCAAATTCGTAATTCTTTTACATAGACGGTAGGACTCCTTGGACGAATGATCAGCCATTCGCAAGGCCGCTACTTATACACAGGGCAACAGAAACACAGAATAAGCGCACACACAAACATCCATGCCTTTGAATGGCATTCGAGCCAACGATCACATCGTTCGAGCGAGCAAACATAGTCCATGCTTTAGAGTGCCAAGCCACCGTAGCCAGCGTAAAGCCATCCCTGTAACAGGCCTTGGAAGCCAATAGGGTTGTGAGACGTAGAGGCTCCCCTATTTTCTAGACAATCGGCTCACAGATGGCGGTAAGTTCCTCAGCCTTAAGCGCCGGCCGATCATTACCCTCCAGGAAGATTCCTGGTACTCATTTCTGTCAGAGGCTGAGTCGACCCCAGGGCCATAGTGCGGCTGGAAGGATTAGGTCAATTGATAAAATTCAATAAGTTCATCGGGATTCGAATCCGCGATCTTCCGAAAATGGGACTTTAAGAACCGAAATGCCCATAAAGGAAAAACAATTTAAGAACTTAACGAAGTGTTAGGATCGTATTTATATCTCCCTAACGCCATGGGATAAAATATTTCTTGTGAAACTTGTAATCACTCAGATAACAAAGAATTTTCAACTTTTTATGGGAACCGAGGACTCGTTAAGTGTTTCATTAGTTCTTGTTCATTTCGTAACTTTTTTTTCCTTTAGCGCTACAGCCCCAATTTGGGCCTTGGCCTACCTCCATGAAACTCTCCGTTTCATTTCGGTTTACTAGATTTTATACATTCAGTAGGAAACTCCTTGGGCGGGTGATCAGCTCGTCGCAGGGCCTCTACATGTATACAAACAGAAAAAACTGGAACACGCAAACAAACATTAAACATCCATGCCCTTTTTCGATTAGTAGGGGGTGGAGTCCACCTGGGTCCACTATGCATGGCGACCACTGATCGGCCTATTGTACCAGACCTGGGTGATTATGATGGAGAATTTGACGGAATGAAGATTGGCAGGGGAAACCGAAGTATTCGGAGAAAACCTACCCCAGCGCCACTTTGTGCACCACAAATCTCACTTAACCAGACCCGGGATCGAACCCGGGCCGCGGCGGTGGGAAGTCAGCGACTAACCGCTTGAGCTATGGCGCGGCCCAATCCATGCCCTTAGTGGTATTCGAACCCACAATCCCAGCTTCCGAGCGTGCGAAGGCAGTGCATGCCTTAGATCGCTCCGCTACCGTGACAGGCATTCCACATAATTAGTCACAGAAATTTAATTCACACTCTAATCTTAGAAGCACATAAATTATTATGTAAATATATGAACTGGTAAAGAAAAATAACTTAACAGGTTTCCTAAGTTACGTTTCAGTACAAAATTCAAGAATGTATTTAAATTAAGGTCAACTTGTGTGACTTCTGTCAGCATGGGCGAGTTTCTGTCACTCAGCTTTATCACAAGGTGACGTCATTTCAAGTGTGGCACTATCAACGAGGACAGAAACCTAAAGTGAAAACATTTTTCTGTTCTACTTAACAGTACAGCTGACAAACTGACGTCATGTGATAAACGTGAGTAGCACAAACTGGCCCATGTTGACAGTACGACTCTTGTGTCCTTCATAATTTATTCTGATGGCTGTTAACTTTCAGATCGTACCCAAGGGTTTGCGCAAAGTGTTAAATTATATAAAAGATCGTTACGGTAAAAAATGGGAAATTGTCATCACTGAAAATGGATTCATAGATGATGGAGAAATCATGGATTCACAACGTATAGTCTATATAGCGGTAAGTGAAACAGAGTCTAAAATGTATATGCACTTGCAAAATGGGGCTTAAGTACTCTTACATGTTTAAATTTATGAAGTCTACTTTTTGTCTACGGTTTCAATAAAAATGATTCAGTAACATCCGTTAAACTTTAGCCGAACAGTGCCGAATACTGCTTCCTGTTAAGCTCAGAAAATCATATTTATGTAATCTCTGTTCAATTTAAAAGGAGATGTAAAATTCATACATATTTTAATGAATTTGTATTAATGTTGTGTTAAACTGTGATTCCATTACACTCATGCATATGACAATACAGATCGTGAAGACGTGTGTGGACAAGTAGAATCTTCTACCGCTCACATTTAAATTTGGTCTTGCACTCGAATTTCCCTTACGCATGATGCGTGCCTAATGACTTTAGGCAGTTCCAACCCGAGCTCGTAAGGCCTACCTTTCTTATGCACAGCCTTCACAGTCATACAAATCTTATGTTGTTACATGTGATATTGGCTCGAATAAACTAACTTTTAAATGCAATATTGTTCTAGAAATACAATGTATCGTATACACTCATCCAGAATTGATAAATCTTACATATATAGGTAAAGCATAATGGACGTTTACACAAACGGTCGTATTTTCGAATCCCAACAGTAAGAATTCTTACTGCTTAAATTGTAAATACAAGTAGGCCTGTGGTAAAATTATTATTATTGTTATTATTATTATTAACAACAATAGCAGCAGCAGTAGTAGTAGTAGTAGTAGTAGTAGTAGTAGTAGTAGTAGTAGTGTAGTAGTAGTAGTAGTAGTAGTAGTAGTAGTAGGCACAATATGGCAGTAATATTTTCTTCTTGGTAAGAACTTATAACGTAAGTACAGATTTCGTTTACTTTAACATTTTTGTAATCTTTTTCCATGCTCATGTAAAATGTTGTAGGTATGTTTATGACCTATCTCTGTATCAAATTTCATAGGCCTAGTGTTAAGGATTCATTGGTTATCGCGATAAAACAGAAAGAAAAACGCATAGGTCTATTACATGATTTATGTGGTTTACTGTTTTTAACTTCACATTAATGCGGCCCTCGATAAATACAAACAAATCCGAGAAGCTAAGCCAAAGTTTCTAAAGTGTCACCAAATGTTTCAGACTTACATGATAGAGATGTGGAAAGCAATGTACATTGATGGAGTGAGAGTTGTTGGCTATATGATCTGGAGTCTGCTGGACAACATGGAGTGGACAAGCGGCTACAGGTACGTGAGGACACGGCAACACTATTCACATCGCATGCATCTACTAATGAAATCTGCAATCAATTACATTTTGTACTGCAATCAGGGACAAGAAATCTACTCCACCACACTTCTCGTGGTGTAGCTTTGCAGTTTTTAATATTTAAATGCGCTGGATTTCCTATTGGTTCGGAATACTCCAAGTCAGTACAGTTACTGGTTAAGTTACTGTTTTATTTCCGTCGGAATTAGAGATGCTTTCCTTTGCCATCTTGCCCACAGTCAACATACTCTCTATAACATTTTTTCCCCCTTGGCACTACAGCCCCAGTGGGCCTAGGCCTACCTCCATGAACTTCTCCGTTCACTTCGGTTTTTCTAGATCTTACACATTCGGTAGGACTCCTTGGGCGGGTGATCAGCTCGTCGCAAGGCCTCTATCTGTACACAAAGACAGAAAAACGCGCACACACAAACTAAACATCCATGCCCTGAGTGGGATTCGAACCCACGATCCCGGTTTCCAAGCGAGCGAAGACAGTACATGCCTTACACCGCTCGGCTACCGTGACCGGCATCTATAACATATACCGAGAGTTATTTCACACGGGGTAAGGAGGCCGGGTGTTGACGTTGACTATTCACGTTGTTCTACTGCCGAGATGAAGATTATATGGAGCATACCTCAACTTCTTCGTATTTCTCAATTACACAGTGCTTAATTGAGCACAGGGATAATTTTCCTTTACGAATTTTACCTGCCTTTAAATCCCAGTGTGTATGTACCCCTTACATTGATATACAAAAATTTTGCATTCTGCCCTCAGAGCGTGTCTATGCATTTCTAATGCATCTCATAATAAAAATATGCATTAACCGGTTGGGCATTGTAGCGGAGACGTAACTGTTTCCTGTGAGGCACAAACTGGATCTTTATGTATTGTTTAGAACAACTTCAATACTAGGAGGGCTAATATGAAGGATTTTAATTACAGATCAAGATCCGGGCTTTTCCACGTGGACTTCTATCATCCGGATAAAATTAGAACTCCAAAGAAATCGACAGAGTTAGTGAAGACCATCGCTAAAACAAGGCGAATCCCGGAAAAATATGTCGACCATGTAAAGGAACTAGATCAACTGGAATTCCATAACTACTCCTAACTCCAGATGGATTCAGCTTGATGTTGAACCTGGCAATGAATTGTATAACTAGTTACTTAAATATGTACTTTAATTGTAACACAGCCCTAGTACACAATCTGTTACATGTAGAAATGTTATTATTACAGCAGAGAGCACAATGTTTTATACAAAGAAAACGTATTACGCGGCGTGTTTATTATGTGTTATTGTTATTCTCTGTGCTCGAACTTTTCACTGTTCAATAAAGTGAATGCCTGCAGTAATGTACAATTATTCCACTGAATAACAAACAGGGAGAAACGAGTTCTTTAAATAATGAAAAATTTGAATGTATTTCCTTATGTATGTATAAGATTACACGAAAATATGTTAATCACTGCTTTTCTGATCACCCTGACTGTACGAGGACATGTTTCAAACTGTGCATAATTACAGTAAATGCGGGAGATGTACTCGTTTAAAAGCTGGACTAAATTGTAAGCCTCACGTGTAATTTGGTGTCTTTCAATTCAGTATAAACTCATATTTCCGAGAATTCTGCATACTAACTGAATTATTTACTGTCTTCGCTCACTTGGAAACCGGAATCGTGGGTTCGAATCCCACTCAGGGCATGGATGTTTAGTTTGAGTGTGTGCGTCTTTCTTTGTTTGTGTACTGGTAGAGGCCTTGCGACGAGCTGATCACCCGCCCAAGGAGTCCTACCGAATGTGTAAGATCTAGAAAAACCGAAGTGAACGGAGAAGTTCATGGAGGTAGGCCTAGGCCCACTGGGGCTGTAGTTCCAAGGAAAAAACTGAATTATTTAAGATATGCGAACTATCAAACACTCTGTCAGGAATAAACAGCAGTGAATAACAAACAACCCATAATCTCAAGATGAAGGTAACCCACCTGCAGGCTACAAGCTACAATCTAGGGCATCGCATGTGATACATGTATGTCAGCAGTAATTAAGATTAGCCGATAAACGGGAGGCTGTAGGTGACAAGCGGTTAACGCACTGTTTATAACGTACATGACAATCGTGTGTCGTGCCCTTTAGTAACATGTGCTATTAAACTAAGTTTCATGTTTATTACGTTTCAAGTCAACTACTTAGTACAAGTACTTATTACTAAACAAGGCCGCGCCATATCTCAAGCGGTTAGTCGTTGGCTTCCCACCGCGGCGACCCGGGTTCGATCCCGGGTCTGGTCAAGTTGGATTTGTGTTGGATAAAGTGGCCCTGGGGCAGGTTTTCTCCGAGTACTTCGGTTTCCCTTGCCAATCTTAATTCCACCAATTGCTCCACAATCACCCTCACCTATCATCTGGGGCTGGTAAATAGGCCAGAAGTAGCCGCAGTACAAGGGACGTAGAACCACGCCACTAGCAATAAAAAAACACTACTAAACGATTACTACTACTACTACTAGGTTGAATACGTGCTACCCTTAAAGGTAATTGAACCTATTCTCACTCTGGAAGCTACAAAATCAATACAAAACCTCCTGTTACATAAAAAAGGTAAAGCTATCTCTGTAACAGGCCATGAAGGCCCATAAGGTTGTGAGCCGTTGTGGCTCCCACAATTTTCACAGTCGGCTCACAGGTGGCGATGAGATTGTCAGCCGTACGCCCCGGCAGCTCTTTACCCCCCAGGAAGATTCCTGGTGCTCATTTCTGTTAGAGGCTGAGTCGAACCTAGGGTCACAGTGTGGCTGGAAGGATTAGGTCAATTACAAAAAATCCAATGACCTTATCGGGAATCGAAACTGCGACCTTCTTGTAGCATAGTGCCTCAAGCAACTACGCTACCTTGTGCCTCTTGCTATATATAACAAAATTTTAAATGACTATGGGGGGNATGTGGGTAAACAGAAACAATATTAATTTTTTTGGTTCATCTAGCGACGCGGTCAGTATCTGGATCACACAAGATCCGGAATCATTTGAGATAAGGTTTAGTGACGGATTACAAACGTCAAGCTTTAGCAGATAATTTTAGAAGATCATACATTACGTTAGCTTCAATGAAGAGCATCACTGTCAGATTCAAACTGTACTGAGGGAAATACATAGGAAATTTGTATCTGGCACTGCATAAATTCCGTGCTCTTTCCCGAAGGAAACCATATTTGGAGTAATTAAGTATCATTATCGTGTTCACGGAAGCTAGTCACTCATCCGGACATGTCCAGCTCACGTACTTACATCCTATTTAAGAGGCATTTCAATATTATACTTCCATCTATGCCTAGGTCTCCGAAGTGGTCTATTATCTTCACAGATTTTTCTACCAAAACTTTGTTTACATTTCTCATCTCCCCCATAAACTATTCATGTCCCTTCTCCACGATTTGACCACTCTTACTCTGCTGGAGAAATATCAAGATTATGAAGCTCTTCATTACAAAATACATCATAAAAATTAACATGTCACGAAAAACTAGAATAAAAGGTAAATAAAGGAAAATATAGGAACTAATGATAAGTACAATGAGGGGAGAGGAAAAAGTAGGAAGAATATGAAGTAATATGAAAAAGGGAAGAAAAATAACAGAAAAAGAAAGAAATAAAACTATAAGAATAATGTAGAGGTAAAATTTTAAGGGAAGGAATTTTATGCGAAGTTTAAACTGTGCGACAGATGTAAAGGAGCTGCGATAAGGTGGAATGGCGACCGATGTGATTGGCCACACACCGTCACAATTTGTTTTCGATATATGCCGAAGCATTATTTTAAGTTGTTCCAATGGATATCTGTGATCCCACAGAAAGTAACATGTTTCCAAGGCAAACAGCACTGGCGTAATTTCAGTTCAGGATATTTTAACTGCCTTAGATAAAGTTATTGTACTCCTTATTAGAACATTCCTATTGGTTTGTTAACCCGAATAGAAAGCAAACTATCAAAGACAACGATGGGAACTGAATGGATGGTACTACTACGATTAGAATAACATATCACGAGAACAATTATAAATATTAATCCGGTCTAGAAAACTCAGATTAACGGCCGTGGGGATCCGTTACGCTGACCACGTGACACCCTCTTCACGCAAAAGTTGGTACTAACTTCGTCGACAAGCAGAGATCGCTCAGTCGATATAATTCACTTGCGGACTAAAACCACGGATTTTTTTAGTTATGAATATTAAACTAGCCGTAATCAATATATTGCCTACTTGCTAAACAGACACGCTCTTTCAGTACTTCAACATTTATTCCGAAATGAAAGACACTTCGGATATTTTAATACTTTCGTTCACACAGGAATTTCAGGCACAAATCCACATACTCTCCAAGCCGTGAACTTACATCATGTCACATGTTCTCCTGACATCAGGAAGACAAGTACAGGATGCTACAACGACGTCATGCATGATTTGCACTGTGCTATGGGATACATTAGAATTATCTCTAATTGAAATCACTGTCAATTAGCCAGACATTTGGTTCTGCTAATTAACCCTATTACTAACACAGGCTCTGTCACGCTCCAGCCGAATCTGAGTCAATACAATCCAATTCACATATCATAACCTATTTCCACAGAACCGACTTGACTCTTGTAAGTATGCTTATAAATATATCTTTCAAATGCATTTCTTTTCCTTGGCACCACAGCGCCAGTGGGCCTAGGCCTACCTCCATGAACTTCTCCGTTCACTTCGGTTTTTCTAGATCTTACACAATCGCTATAACTCCTTGGGCGGGTGATCAGCTCGTCGCAAGGCCTCTACCTGTACATAAACACAGAAAAACGCACACACACAAACTAAATATCTATGTCCTGAGTGGGATTCGAACCGACAATCCCGATTTCCAAGCGAGCGAAGACAGTACATGCCTTAGACCGCTCGGCTACCGTGACCAGCAGTGTATAAGAATAATATATAAGAATTCAGTTCGTACCTCACAGGAAACAGATCCGAACCCACGATCCCGGCTTCCGAGCGAGCGAAGACAGTACATGCATTAGACCGCTCGGCTACCGTGACCGGCCTTCAAAGGTATTTAGTTTACACAAATTCTGTAAGCGATCTTTGTCTTAATCATAACTATAACTGAGAAATACTGCTTATATGTTATTCACTACCTTTTATTCAGGAACCGATTCTCGTATGCAAATTAAGAAAGCGAGAAAGCAGGGAATAGTACTCGTGGCCTGTAGTCTACAAGCGAACTGTACCGACAAAGCGACCGCCGCTTGTCGGCGAAGTTAGTACCAAATTTGCGGATAGAGGGTGTCACGTGGTCAGCGCTACGAATCCCCACGGCCGCTATTTATTGAAATAGCTCTTTAGTTATTCCCTCCAGGCTGAGTGGACCCCGTTCCAGACCCACTACTTCTCATAAAATCTAGTAGCGCCGGGAATCGAACCCGGAACCTATGGATCTGTAGCCAGGAACCCTGAGCGCTAGATCAGAGAGACGGGCAATAGTACTCATTGCTTCAAGGAAATTGACTCAAATGTAGAGTCTTACTTAAAATCTGTAGGCAGTAAAGTTCGTTGAAACATATGCATTCGTTCATACTTACGTACATGAGACGAGTCTATATATCTCCGTTGCCCTCTTAGGTTGCGAACACAGTTAACCGAAAAATATTTTAATTTGGGGACATCAAACTCAATCAATGAAAAAATATGAATTACATTTAAAAACATTACACTTTACATCCATATAGATAAAGTTAAAAAAGAAGGTGAAGCTATCCCTGTAACAGGCAGTGAAGGTCCACATGATGTGAGGCGTTGAGCCTCCCACATTTTCTAAACAATAGGCTCACAGATGGCGGTAAGGTTGTCAGCTTTACGCGCCGGTCACCCTTTACCCCCCAGAGAGATTCCTGTTGTTCATTTCTGTTAGAGGCTGATTAGATTCCAGGGCCATAGTGCGGTTGGAAGGATTAGATAAATTGAAAAATCCAATGACCTCATCAGGAATTGAACCCGCGACCTTCCGGCTTATAACATAGTGCCTCAACCAACTACGCTACCACATATACAACTATATGTAGGTACATTTATGTAAATAATATTTTGTTTTATCTTATTTCTGAAACCCTTCTCGGCGTGTAAAAACACATATATTACACAACACTAACAAGTACTGGAACCAGCAATTATAACGTACCATTCACTCATTCATTCATTAATTGTTCTACAGCCCTTCGTTAGGCCCTGGACTCTTCTTCAGTTTCGTAATCTTTTTGCACACAGACGGGTAGGACTCCTTGGACGAGTGACCAGCACGTCACAAGGCCGCTACCTAC